ACAAAAGAGAGGAGAACAACATACTGACGAACAGAAAACATAATGCAGAAGTTTAATTACATGCACGGAGATCGTAGTGGTCGCGTGCAGACACTTTAGCCGGTCACTGTATATAAACGTCATTCTCTTTCTATTGGCTGAAATTGAAATCTCCGGAGTATATTCGGAGATTTCCATATGTGTGAAAAGGGTTTATGTCGATGGGTGTATTCCACAGACTGGAAATATTAATGGATGAAGCCTGAGTGACGTCACCCATCTGTTACTGCAGGGAGCCCTGGAGGCTCTGCAGTCTCATCTGAGGCAGCCGCCATGCAAGAAATACTGTCTCAGCCTAACTTTCAGACAACCTAACGACAGTCTGAGAGCTGGAGCTGAAGCGGGTTTTAAGCCTCCTGGCAAACCGCTACACCGCATCTGCCTGTCATCCAGGTCAGCCTCGTGCCTGTATGCATAACTCGTATTGTTCATAAAATCAAAACATAAGGACTTAAGAAAGTTTATTGTCATTGTAGTAGTCTAAGAAGAAGATAGGGCCGCACATGTGCTCAAATGCCACAAAAAGTTTTAATATATCACGACCACATTTTCGACCAGAGGTCCTTTTCAGGAGTTAATTTCTTAACAAAGGAGGGGGGGGGGGGGCACATCCATATCTATTTCAACAGCCTGCCACAGTGTGTGTCCATGAGGACAATAATCACAGCAGTACAGTTTTTTGTACCAGGTGGTAAACATGTTAATTTCCATTGTGAAAGGGGTCTTTTTTGAATGTGATTTGAATATGACTTTAGGGGCTCTTGCAGCCAGCCTAAAGCCGACACTCTAAGAATTGCAGTTTTTTGCACTTCTGCTTTGGCTTCATTTATCAACACCGCAGGTTTTCACTTGTTGTATTCTGGGAGTTACCAAACAACGAAGGGGCAATTCCTGCTATATACTCCTTTGATTGGATGATGCAGAAAGGGGACTTCTTGCTCACCTGTTTCTTGGTCTCAAGTTGATTTTAACCTTTTTGGAGTCTGCATACAGATGACTTGTCCTTTTGTCAAGGGCTGCAGGGACAACATGTAGGCTGGAAGTGAGACATTGTTGAGAAGCTGGGTGTTGATTTGCTTGGAATTCTTCATGGCTCACAGGAATACTTTTGCATGTCTGCCATTCTATCAGAAATCCAGAGGGAGTGACAGGTGTTGGATTTGATTGTTGGGGAATGTTAGTAATGTTAAAGAGAATTATGAAGACATTGGTTTCGTTGAACCAGTCCTCCACTTTCAGTTAATAGCTGCGGAGACAGAAGAGACATAGTGTGGCCTAGAGCTAGAGCAAGTCATGTGTGAAATGTGCATCTTTTGAACATGATCTTCTTCACTAAAATCCTCCCTGTCAAAGTGAATTCTTTAACATCCTCGGATAATCCAGTGCAGACTTGTTGCACAATTTAGGTCATCTGTTATCTGCCTTTACTTTTTTGTGTTCAGGTTGACAACCCTGGAGAAACAACAACTCAACCTATAGAACTGTGTTCTGTATCTATACACTAACTCACTGTGTTAATCAATCGTTCAATCACTCTATCAATTAATCAATACTTTCAGTAGTCATAAAAGTCATGTTTTTTTTATCTCAAGACACAAAAGAGCAGGTAAAATACTTACTCTTAAGCAGCTTGGTTGTGATTGGGTCAAAAACACAGGTTGACAGTTTAGATGAATAAATAGTTGAATTTAGTTCTGAAAGGAGAAAACAGTTAAGGTCAATATGAGGTTTTAGAGCTGTTTCTGCCCTACCAAAGTTTGAGTGGGGAATAAAGGAAGGGGGTTTATCTATTTTGTCTACAATGTTTAAAAGTTTATGATTGACAAGTTTACGAGATTATTACTGCTGAGGGCTATATCAAATCATAATGTTTTTATGTTTTTAAGGAAGCTTTTGCCTTCTTCCCTGTTTTCTGTAAGAATTACATTTCTGTTTTCCCACAATGGTCATTTTTGGCTCCATGCAAAGATCTGTAGATAACTTAATTAATGCCTTAGATTTGCCGTATTAGACAAAAGACAAACTCTTTGTTAAACTCTTCACATAATGATGAGGGTTTTGTTTAACAACGACGATTTTAAGATGGTTTCTATACTGATTAGAACTCTCAAGAACAGCCGTCCATGTTGTGCTTTGCCTCTGTTCACTGCCTGTCAGCGCTTGTGTGTTCGTTTGCACTTACTGACGTTGTTTACTCTTTTCAAGATCCTTGCTTGTGTTGTACTTACTCTCTGATGTACGTTGCTTTGGATAAAAGCGTCTGCTAAATGAATTGTAGAACATAATGTATATTTCCTTTGTATCCATTTTGACCTAAATTAAAGCATAAATGGCTCCTACTAATGACATAACTTTTGTGGATTTTCTACATCTGAATCGAAATCAGCCCTCTCAAGTTCAAGCTTTTTTCCATATGCCTTGAACTGCATGTATCTGTTCAATCCTAAAAAAGATAGAGAAAACCAGAAGACAGAAGAGAAATGTGGTATCGCAGAGACCTGTAAATCTGTAGTAATGATTTGAATAAGCCTTTTTTAGAAGAAGGAACTTGAAATAAATCTTTTCACACATACCTCATTGCTTTTTTGTATTATTTTGTCAACAAATTCCTCAACATACACTTTAGGCCCTGACACATCAAGGAGATCGTCGGCTGTCGTTCCTAGTCAGCATCGGCGCAGTTGGTGAGAGGAATCACTCTGATTGGCTGTTTGGCTGTTTGACGTAACTCAAGCTTTCGACACTGGTCTGGGAAAATCACTTGAGCCTGCTGCTGAATCTGTGCTTTAACCCATTTAGTTTGGTTTCTCCTTATTTGTCAGCTCTGCCTCTTCTTTTCTTTTTCCATGAAAAGACCAAGGGCTGACAACACCAGTGCCATTTTCAACTTTTTATCAGACATTATTCTCGATTTGTAACTTACCTATACTACAAGTGGTGCACGACAGCGGTGTGAAAAATGGGTCTGCTCGTATCATAGCAACGGACTACCGCTGACTACAGGCATGGGGAGTTATTTCCTCTCACCATGCATGTGGTGGTTGGCCGTCGGCTGTAGTCTTTGCGATTTGTTCAAGTGTAACTTTTCAGCCAAGACAAAAGGCGATGTGAGGCGACACTAGTTGGTCTTCATTGCCACTAGTTCTTTGCCGTCTGCTTGGTGTGTCAGGGCCTTTACACATGAACACGAATACTTTATATAGAAAAGAAGAGGTGAGTTTAGAAAAATGTTTTTAAAAAGAAAGGTTTATTGTGTAAGTATCCATGGATAACATGTATTTACATTAGACCCAGTTCCCCTTGCCTTTGTCCTAATAAAACCTGTGTTGCTGGCATGTTTTACTCATCCATACTTGTGTTCATTATTCCTGCTGGTATTGATGTTAATTTGTAGTAGTATTGGTCAGCAACTCTACCGGAGCTTTCTTAAATTCTAGTGCACATAAAATCTTTAGCATCCACTTTAAACAAAATGCTCTTATGTGGCTGGTTGCCAAGGAAGAAAGGAACAGAGTGAAACTGGCCAGGATATGAATGGATCTGTTTCTTTTCAGGGGTCAAGGAGTGACGACTTTCTCTCTAAATGTTATGGTCCTCAAGGCAAAAGCCTAAAACACAGGCCCATGTGCTCTCCCAGAGAACCTCTGTCTTACAAAGAGTCTATAAATAAAGCTGGAACTGACTTGCTGTAGGGATAAATGAAACACATCCCTAGTTAATAGTTGCTTCTCCCGAACAAACCCAAAGGTTTGGCTGAAGGAAAAGGCCAAAAAGACAAATAAAAGATCTACTATGAACTTACAAAGAATGCTTTCTCTGTTTAATGGTAAAAGGCCCTGTCCAGCCAGGGGGCACTTCCACTGTGTTTGTGTTCAACTCTCAAGCTCCTGGAGAGTTTCTGATAATCCAGATAAAGACATAAAGACATTACCCTGTGGTCAAGCAGTGTTACACGAGATGCAGTGGCAGACGTTCGGTAAAGAAGCTACACAGCTTGCACATGAGAATCCTGTTAAACAGCTTTATTCCTTTAGATAATTCTTGATTTATAGGATGGCAAAAAGCATAGAATAATCTATATGTACTTTGCTTATAATAGTTCATTTCTTTGCCATTGATAGTGTTAAACATGAGGTGAAATTGTGATGATTACAAAAGGGAAATATCCTAAAATTGTTAAAGCTTCATTTACTTTGGAGCAGAAGGGTTGATATTGTAGTTTTTACTTAAAGGAGAGCTGATCAGGACTGGATAAAAGGATTTCTGAATAGTTGTATTATAAAAATTCTAAATTATGTTAAGATTACTTGAAAAAAATAGGACATTTATTTTTGCTGTAAAAATATTGACTGACACAAAGTATTAAATAAAATATATTTTGGATCCCTTGAGCCCCAAATGATTTCCTGGCAAATCATACAGTTCGTCGTCTTAAACCTGCGATTATGACTGCTTAAAGATTGACAGATACATTTATTTGACCTCTTAAGATGGTTGAGTTCGTAAACGCCATACATTTGGGGTTTTCATATAGCCTTCTCTCTTGTGAAAACAGTGGTTTATTGTGTTCTCTTTGCTTAGAACAAATAATGTGTTATGCTAGATGAGCAGAACTAAAGATTAAACGATAGTTGGCCTTAAGCAAGCTTCAGTTCGCAGACTACTGGTCAACAAATAAAAAGAGTCTTTTGTGAGCCAGAGGTGGTGACGTCAATTGAGCTGCATAAAGAAATAAATTCACAGTTAAGCTTGAACAACACAGCAATAGGAGGATGGGTCTCAGTGTCTTCCTCATTTTCTTAACTTACATAACTAATGAGCCCTCAGCCCTAGATAAATAAAGTGGGGCTAGTGACTGCTCTTTGCATATGCTAGCTCACTATCCACAGTGTAGGCTTTAACAAGATAAAGGGATTATGGACCGTTTATAGATACTTTTGATCAATTACTACTCGAATAAGATGTTGGAGATGCTTGAATACAGCCACTATCAGGTAAGATGGGTTGCTTATGGGTTTATGTCTTTTTATTGAAACAGTTTTTTCTTTTACAAGTTAAAGTAAAAGCTTGTGAACTGTCAAAACTGCGTCATTGCCCTTCTTAGGTTGTTGTCTAAGCTTGATAAACGCAGTTCAGAGCCGCTCATGTCAACAGAATAAAGCAGTAATGTATAAAAGCTAAAGAAAAAGTGATCTGTCGCATCCGTATTGCACAATATTTTAAGTGGTCCAAGATTATTGAAAAGGATTATTATGGTCAACAGCAACGTTTCTGGGCAGAGTTTATGTCTCAGGGAAACAAAGTAGGCCTGTGGAAGTGGTAGTAATGTTGAAAAAAATATCTGCGACACACATTTGAATAATTAAATATAAAAATTAAATACATTTCCACAACTTTGTATGTGCATAATGACTGTAACAAAGCAAGGTTGAAATATAATGTTTGACTTTTAAAAGCGGTTTTGAGGTCAACTGATGAGCTTCTTACACAACAGATACGTCATTTTACTGCAAATTAGTAAAGCAACTGAGTTTCTATGTTTGTCTTTTCATGCAAAGACTCTGATCTGACTCCAAAACATAAGGAAATATCATAAAAGGGATGATAATATATCTTTAGATGTAAAAGGCTTACTTTAAAATATACTGTTATCAGGACATTCAATGTAATAAAGAAAATATTACAAAAAGCATTATTTGAAATCACTATTGCTTTTTTATGTCTGTCAGACATCATGCATTCATTAGCTATGGTTTGCGATTCTTGGTCCTTCTTATTAATCCACAATACAAAACCACATACTGGACCTGATGAATGAATAAATATGTTTGTAAAATCTTACTCATGTAGGTGCAGTCCCACCTGGAGAGTCCCACGAAGTACCACATCCAGCAAGCTCAGAGGCAGCAGGTGAGGCACTATCTATCATCCCCCCTGGGTGGTAAAGCCAACAGTCATTGCCCCAGTCAGCCCCCCGAGCATGGCATGCCACCCGGGCCTGGCAGCAGCGCTCCAAACAGTCCAATGGCCCTGCTCACTCTGAGCTCCAACTGTGAGAAAGAGGTGCCTCCTCATTAAACCACTTAAGACAATCAGTTTTATTGAAATGAAGATTACCCAATGAACCTTTAAAGTTTTTAAAACAAACTTGTTTTCCTAATATACAGATGGATGATGTCATCGATGATATTATAAGCTTGGAGTCAAGTTACACTGACGATGTTCTTGGACTTATGGACCCTACTCTACAAATGAATAACACGGTAATTTTCATATGGTATAGATTTAAAATATTGTTTTCATAACACCATCATTAACCTAAATTAAGGATATGTTTTTCTTTCATCACCTTTATTCAGCAGCTCCCTGTGTCTGGTAACCTTCTTGATGTTTATGGCAACCAAGGACTCCAACTACCAGGCCTTGGCATCAGCAACTCCTGTCCATCCAATATTAAGAGGGAATACACAGGTAAACATGAAAAACACTGTTTTAACTCATTTTTATTGGTAATCAGTTGTATTTTATTAGTTTTTTATTTTATTTTCTGTACTGATTTATTTGGGTTGAGTTAAAGTCATGGAGTGTGATATCATTTCATAGTAACGTTTGTTCACTTTTCTGAGACTTGACTATTAATTATGGTAATATAATGTGATTATATTGAATACATATTTGAGAAAAGTTTATAAGTTCAATTTGAGGGAAAATATGATTTATATAATGATGGTATCTATCAAATCAAACCCTTTAAAGTAAAATGGAAATGATGCATGAAGCATTTGGAAAAATTCAATATTGTGTGCAATTTGGAAATGCACAAGATACTATTAAGTCAATTATTTACCAAATAGTAACTCCAGCTCCTGGCATGAAGCAAGTACTGGACAAGACTGGATCCTGTGGCCAGTATGAAAGCTATCACAGGTCAGAGGGCTTTCCAGTAGGTAAGCACAGCGAAATGAAGAAAATAAAAATGATGATGTTCTGTAAAGTGTAACTTTGTGTTTCTTTTCAGTCTCACCACAGTTGTATATTTAGCATTTTGTGTGTTACTTAATTTGCACACAATATAAACCATCTAATGTTATACATTTGGGATTAGCATGAATTCCGCTTTACTTCCCACTAAAATCCACAAAACATTGAACCTATTTCCTATTTCCCAGAGAGCAACATAAAGCACTTCAGAGCATGGAAAACATAGTTTCAAAGTGCTAGAAGAAGTCATGATTCATAACTCTGTTTAAAAGAATTAATATCGGCCCATTTGTTGATTTTCAGAAGCTGAAGTACGTGCTCTTGCTAAAGAGAGACAGAAGAAAGACAACCACAACTTAAGTGAGTCAGTCAAACAGTAGTATTTCAAAGTTAGCTTTTTTGATGACTTTTTTTTGTAGTTTTAACTTACAGTGGCAAGAAGCTGGTATCTGTACAGTTTTAAAGTTATTCTAAGAAATACGACTGCAGCCTTCCAGAGAAGTTTTCTTCAAACATTATTTCTTAACTATTATTATTATCTTACATTTCACCCAGAATAACTGAATAGTTTTAAAAGTATTAGAAATAATACAAAATTATCTGTTTTTAATTAATAAAGATAATGTGTATTTGTACTGTTTTGTTAACACATTTTATGACCTGTAATTACTTTCAGGTAAACTCCAGCACACTGTCTAACTTGCAAACATACATTTATGTCAATGTTGACTTTTATCAGGCCTGATGAAGATCCAGTACTGAAACTTTGCAGATAACTGTATGACTGCAAGTTGAACAGAATGTGAGGGTTTGCCTGTGAGATTTTGATGGATACATTAGCCTCCTGTTCACCTTTGAACAGAATTAGATGAATTAGATGTACAAAGTATTTTTCTCTTATGAACTGGAAGAACACCTTTACAAAACGTCAAAGGCCGTTTCAATAATTGTACTTTCTTCCTTTTTTAAAACAAATTTCAGTTGAACGAAGACGGAGATTTAACATAAACGATCGCATCAAAGAACTCGGAACCCTGATACCCAAGTCAAATGACCCGTAAGTGTTTCTTTATTTAAGCTTATGAACACATCAGTCTATCAGGTCCTTCTCTCAACATTTAATGCTATGTTTGTTCTGTAAAGGGCTGTAAATATATCTGTTCTTTTATGGTCATCTGACTCTAACTGAACCCTTTGTCTTCTAAATACCCCAGAGACATGCGCTGGAATAAGGGCACCATTCTGAAAGCCTCAGTAGACTATATCAGGAGGCTACAACGGGAGCAGCAGAGAGCCAAGGAGCTAGAATGCAGACAGAGGAAGTTGGAGCATGCAAACCGCCATCTGATGCTCCGTATACAGGTAGCTCATTGTCTATTTGCATTTATTCAGTCAAATGTCTTGCTATTCAATGATGAAATGTTAAACCAGAGCTGAAGCCTGAGAAAAGTCTCTTTGGACCAGAATCAGGGATGGGCAACTTTGGTCAAAGCAAGGGCCACATTCATTTAATTCTCACTGCCAGAGGGCCAAATTGTAGTATACAAAAAAGATTACAATCAATTATGTCTCAAATTAAACTCAACATATACCAGTGATCAAATATCATAATGGACATATTTCTGGTTTTCATGATTTCATGGCAGATTTTGCCATGTTTTCTTCATGTTTCCAATTAATTGATATGTAAAAATTGACCTGAGGGCCACGTTGAGGGTTGATGGGGGCTGCACGTGCCCACCCCTGGACCAGATAGTCCTAAGTCTTTGTCCAGTAAACATAACATCATCATCACTATTTGTAATAGTAAATGTAAAAGGTGAATTTTAGCATGCAAAAATGCTAAACAGTTAGTGAACAACATAATCATTCTAGTTATTGAACATCAACAAGTCACTATGTTGGGGGCGCTGGTGGCGCAGTGGTTAGTGTGCGTGCCCCATGTATGGAGGCTGTAGTCCTCAACATGGGTGGCCCGGGCTCGAGTCCGGCCTGTGGCTCCTTTCCCGCATGTCATTCCCCACTCTCTTTCCCTGATTTCCGATTCTGTCCACTGTCCTATCTCTCAATTAAAGGCACAAAAAGCCAAAAAGCCCCAAAAAAAAAAAAACAAGTCAGTATGTTATGCTTAAGCATTTATCTCACATTAATCACAGAGTAGCACTACGTTTATTAAAACAATATATTTTATGTCAAATTTTGTTTGTCTGTATTATCAATTAGGAGTTGGAAATCCAGGCCCGAGCTCATGGTCTCACATTGGTATCATCCTCATCTGTCTGCGCAACGGAATTGATGGCCAGAGCCATTAAACAGGAGCCCCTCCTCAGTGACTGTCCCTCAGATCTCTACCAGCAAAGCACAACTCCAGACATGTCTCCTCCAACCACACTTGACCTCAACAATGGAACAATAACCTTTGACCAGATACCAGCAGATGCTGGGGACCCTGGCCATTATGGAAACACCAGGACATGTAAAATGGAAGAATTGGTAAGGGATAACACCCTATCACCAATTTCACCAAATGACCCCCTGTTTTCCTCCATGTCCCCGGATTGCTCCAACAACAGCAGCCACCACGGTTCCAGCTCTGGTATGGAGGAGAATGATCAAGGCTGTTAGCATCATTTAATGCAATGAGCGATACTTGTACTGAGACTTTCTTTCAGCCCATTAATGAGGCACATCCCCTAAAGTGACTTAAAGGTCCAGTGAGTAGGCATGTAATTGAACTGAAAATGGTTTTTACCTTATCTATATTCCTGTATTTTTCCCCTTTTACCCATTTTCATAACCCCAATGTTTAAATACTGTATTTTAATAGTTCTTATTTTGTACACAGTATTTTTAACAGTGACAGAGGAACAAAATACTAAAGTCTGCTGGTATATAGAGAGGCCAACAAAACCTTGAGTTTATTTCTGTTTGTCCAAAATCTACTTTGTACTGTTAGTGACAAAAGAAACTTAACGTAGACAAACATGATACTGGTGGTGAAGTGCAGAGAGCTGTTCTTTGTTCTTAAATAATAACCTGTCCTTCTGAGAAAGGTTTTATCGAAAAATCTTTTATAATGTGCTTTCAAACACATTGTGAATCTATTCTTATTCTGACTCAATGTAGCTCAATATAACATCACAACTTTAACTTCAAGATCTAATAAGTAAAGACACACATGGTCAGACAATAAACGGTAAAAGAAAAAAAACAATTCTTAGGAAGTTCTAAATATAGAATTTTAGGACCACTCTATAAAAAAAGCCATCAGGAAGGTGGGGTGTCTCAGAATAAGCAAAGTTGAAAGGGAACAAGAAACTTTAATTCAGAGTTAAATTTGTAGATTTTTGATATAAATCTCAAATTTCTTAACATCAGAAATAAAGTCAAAAACCACACACATAAAAACTTTGTGACTTTTTGTAACATTGTCCCATTTGTTACAATTTGCAAAATTCCGATGGTAAATGATGAATGGAGCTTGTTTAGTGCTTTTCTAGTCTTCTGGCTTTTACATGGCAGGTCACACCTACACATTCATACCTATTCACACACTGGTGGCAGAGGTTTCTATATAAAGTGGCCATCAGAAATAAGTGATCCATATTTTTAAACATACATACGCCACCGACTAAGCAGCAAGAGCAATTGTGGTTAAGTGTCTTGCCCAACAACACATCTGACATGTAGCTGCATGAGCAACCAACTCCAACTGTGCCACAGCCGCCAGTGTCACATATTGCTTGATCTAAGTGAGCAGGGTATGTCTCACAAACACAACTGTGATTTTTGAATTCAAAAGTATTTATTAGTATCGATATCATTCACTGCAGGCATCATCCAAGTGTGCATTTATTCATTGAAGAGAAATTTGAAAAATGACTATGGTCACAGTGAAACACATTTGTAACAGTTATACCCAAACTTCATCATCTATTTTCTCAGTTGAAAGCCAGAGTTGCAAATCTCAGTGACTCTCAAAACCACTTTGTTAACATTTTCCACAGCGAGGATTCAAAGTGAGTGATACGTTTGGCTAAAGAAAGCAAGCTGAGATATTCATCAGAAAACACATGCTGCTTTGTCCACAGGGGTCACCAAAATCAACACAAAATGAAAGCGCCTGTAAGCGGGACTCCTGGAAATATTCTCAAGAGGAAATGGAGACACTAAAATGTTGTACTGCTATTTTCTCACAAACAAAGCAAGTGCCTCCACATGCACCCCCAAAAAAGAAAACATGTTGTATGGTGCATCTTGTGTTCAAACTTTAATATTTTATTGATTACTTCCAACCTGATTATCTCGCATTTAAGTTTTGAGTTAATGGAAATCACATGATAAAAACTATTGCTTATACATTGTTTGCTTAATTGTCATGTGTTACAACTTCCCTTTTATAGTTTCCATATTTTTAATTACAAGAAAAATGTTGGTCTGGGTATAAGTGACTTGCACATTAGGATAAAGGAGTCTGAAACATGTTAGCCTTGAATTCCAAATTTACAAATTCAAACTCAGAAAAAGCTAAATTATATTTCATTTCACCATTTTGTAAGTGTTCTGGTGCCTGTTTGTACTCAATGGAGTATTGTCCTCTAACATCTCAGCGGGCGTTGTCTGTATGAAGGAAAATATTCAATGTGAAGAGCGAAAGGGCCGGAATGCATTTGGGAAAGACTGGAACTCATTGGCGGTCTTTTAACAAATATCAGTGTGTATTTGCTGCAACAATCCCCTCTTACATGTTGTTTCTCATCACCAACTCTATTCTCAGAACTCCAGTTATTAGTCGAACAGTAAACACTGCAATGGACAGAAAAGGAGTCTTGGCTGGAAGTTCTTTATTGCTTACTGCTGGCTACATGGAGACCCCGAACAGTTGGCCCTTTTTGAGGATATGTCATCTGTTAATCCCCACCAGAAGGACAACGGCAATCTACAAATTGACCCAATAAAACACCTTACCAAAGTCAAAACAAAGGTATTTGTAATCACACAAACTAAATGATAACACAAATCAACTTAGAAACTAATATAAACAAACAAAACAAACAACCCCTGACTTTGAGGCACAGCTGTCCCAAATCCAACAGTCTTTGCTTCCTGAAAACCAGCACTGCGGCTTTTAAGCACTGAGGCTAGGTGCACCTCGTTGAGTCATTAGTAGCTTCACCTGGGCAGAGCTAAAGACAACAGGAAGTGAAGAAGTAACAAACAGCATAAGGAAACATACAACTGTAACACATCTGAGAGGCCACAGATCTGTGTTGGGAACAAACACACTGCCACCTGCATTGAGACATTTCTAACTTCCCTGTGTTGTGTTGACCTATATGTTATATTGTGTTTATGTGGATATATGTTTTATTTATTTAAAAGGCTGTTATAGTTGTATGTGTACTTAAGTTGGGTACAGTCTTTTGTCAAGTAGTCTCCTTTTCTATTCTTTGCATACCTTCCGTAACTATTAAAATATATTTGATAAATATTTGGAGCTGAAGACTACACAGACGACCTTCCTGATGTGCCACCTGCAGACAGTCTATTCTGTATAAAAGAGTAAAAATGTGTGTGACATACAGGAACGTTGTGAAACTTGTGTAAATGTTAGTCAAAATCTCATGCTACAATTCTACAATTGTACAATTCATTTAGCAGACGCTTTTACCCAAAGCAACTTACATCAGAGAGTACAACACAAGCAAGGATCGAGAAAAGAGGAAACAATGTCAGTAAGTGCCAACAAAGAGCTTTGAGTCCGATTTTATGGATCCCTGCTTAAAACGGTGACCGACTTCTTTAAAAGTACGGCTAACAATTTATTCAACAGAGATGTTAATTTCATAGTGTCCATACTTACATAATCTCTGAATTGATTTTATTATTGGGCCTAATCGAGTTCACTGTCCTTCACTGCCCATTATCACTAGAGAGCACATTTTCTCAAGTTTTCTGAGCAACCAAAATCTTCCTATCATACCTATCAGCGGGGCCGACCACACCTCCTCATTAAGATACTGTAAGTTTCTGTCCGTTCCTTGCTCTGAGAACATTCCTAAATCACTCCTAAGCTAAGACTTCTTGCTAGGATTTTTTAAGCTAATTAGGAGCTCTGACAGTTTCCCCTGAATTTTTGTAAAAAAAACGGGCCCTATGGGCTTGTACAACCTTATTGTGTAGATGTGAGTGAGGGCTTTTGTGCAATATTAATGCATTTCAGCCAAGTAACAGGATACAAAGCAGACAACCTTTTACCGAGCTGTATATAAAATGAAATAACAGATGTAAATAGTTAAGAGCAAGCAGCAATGACAACTAATGCCTGAACATCATTTGAAATTCTCAATGTGACATTAAGTTAAATTATGAAAGGAGAAAAAAGTATATCTCAGAATGTTTTTTTTTTTCAGAATTATGGACCTAATCGAAACAGGAAGACTGTTTCAACTCCTATAGTATTCCTTTAACTATCCTATATTCTCTAATTAAGTCATCATCATCCCTCTCTCTCTCTCTCTCTCTCTCTCTCTCTCTCTTTGTCTTCCCGCTAATTATGGGTATTTGCTCTTTCAGTACTTATCCAACCAGATTTTGCCACGATCTCCAGTGACCAATAATCCTGCAGTTGTCTTTCAAAGTCATTCTCTCTCTCTCTTCTGCTGTTAGTTTCCTGTTTCAGTTCAATCGCTGCGACCCTCCTACACCTCAGTCATCTCTAATCGATCTCAGTGTAAAGGTCCAGCTGCTGAGCTCATCCCACGTCCTTCCTTCACCACCAACACAGACACCAGTGAGGCTCCATTCAGAGTATCCTATCCTGCTCTTAGCCTCAGTACCCCTTTCAAGTACATGAACACATAATGATGGGGTCTAATTGAAAGAAATGCAAAAGACTTCAGTACATTATGTCAGAGTAATTGTCTGTATAGTCGGCCTAGTCTTTTGTTTCTTGAAAAAATAAGATACATAAAGACATGTTATTCTAAGATGACATATTATCTGTGCTTTAACACTTGCGCAAAACTCCTGAAAAAAAAAAACTCACTAAAGTCTTCACTGCGGGTGGATGAGGGGGGATGAGGTTTATATCCTGGGACTGGCACACGACCAGTCTGTAGCCTGTATGCATGCAACCGGTGCAATCCCTGTGCATGTACAGCTTTTATTAGAATTTGTTTATTTATTTGAATTTATTGGAAAAATTGCTCTTAAGAGTTCTTATCAGCATCAAAACCACCCTAAATATCGTCATGTCATCATCAATATCATGATCAACGTATCATCTTCAACCTCTAAATTCCAATAAAGGACCATTGTTGTGGTTTTGAAAAGCTGTTTTATAGGCTTGTTCTGAGAAATATCTTAATATCTATGGTATATTCTAGGTCTGAAACACATTAAATTAGACCAAAATTCATAAGCGAGTTCATTGCAATGCGTAATTAAGACCTTGAGAAAAGCCAAGCAAAACCCTGGATAGTTGTCTTTGTTGAGCTTGAGACCAGAGCAGTGCAAAACAGAAATAGCATTTTGGTCCTAGTTTTTTCAGGTATTCAGAAACAGGGCCAGCAATTGTTTAGCATAGCTGTTTGCTTGAATAATTATATTGGCAGCTGTTTTTCTTTAGTTTTCTATTTCAATATGTGCGAAAGACTTCAATGTTATTTTTAAGTTTGTCATAAACTATGACGGTGAATTAAAAATGATCTATTGTGGTCCTTTATAACTGTTGTTGGATGTAGTGTCGGGTTAAGTGTTAAAAACAAAAAATTTAGCTCATTGAAATTCATTGAATTAAGTTGAAAATCAATCTAGTTTTATTTGTAAACAGTGGCCTCAAATTATTGTTTAAAGTGGTATTCTAATTCAATTAAAAATTAACAAGGAAGGATGTTTACATATATATTTCAGAATCTGAGATATTCTAATAACACACCCACTATCAAACAGTAAACATCTTTAATAATCAAAGTCACATCTCACAGGCTTTAAGGAAGAATGTGTGACTTTTTGATCCAGTAGATGTTGCCCTTGAGCGCCAGCATGAACCAAAACAAACTGCTGTTTGGCGACACTACGGCTATTCTGAAGCCTCCGCTCTCCTCAAACCCCCCTCCACTCACGGTTGCACGATGGAGTTATAAATAACAAAGCACCATAATTAAACACCATTAAGCCGAAGCAGCGGACAAACTTGTCCTTTGCTCGAGCTGCAACTTCCTGTGGCCTGCGTTGTTGTGTTAGCAGGCTAATGTTAGCACACTTTGGTTGACTCATACAGTAGCTTCACATTGCACATACATTGACACGGAATGAACATGATCTAAAGACACTTATGTGACATCCAAATAAGCAGTGAGGCTGTGTTATTCTTCTTTTCTCTAGTCCTTGACTTAACAGCTTTATACTCAAGGCCATCCTGTCCATGTTAACATGATGTAAACACGGCTCAGACAACAGTACAGCTGGCAAGACTCAGGCTTGTCACTCAATGTAGACAGTCATGACTCAGAGACACATTTACACAGGATATACTTAATTCCTCTGTATTGATGTGTACAATATGGCACATTCTTCCTTTAAGAGAATGGATAGCTAGTTGCTGGATTCATTACTTGTTACCCCCTGATTTCCTCCTGGTAATCAAAACAAAAAGAGGACATGTAAAACTGTTAAAATAATGCTGCTTTTGTTTTATTTAATCTGTTTACAGACATTTTAATTGATTGGCAAGGCATGCAGCATTGGCAAAGAAACATTAGAAGAGCACATGCTTGGCTGAAATCTGTAGAAACAAGTACTCGTCGTGCCAATACGAGACATCTGGTCAATGTTGTCATAATGTAAAAATACATCCTTGAATTGATTTCTACTGCAATCGCTTTGCAAAAATAATTTGAACAATGAAAATACATTCATATACATTCCCTACATAATTTTAAAAAGTTATCACACAAAAACCGTAAGTGGTAGCATGGGCACATTAACTCTCACTGTTGTTGTCCAAGGGATTGCTCAGCTCATCACACCATTTTTCATGAGCTCTGTGCAGGATCTCACAAGATGTTTCATTGAAAATTTCTGCAACGGAAAAAAAAAAAAGAGTGCAAAGTTATTCTGCTTTAACTGTACTGAACATATATTATGAGTTTGAAGCTCTGACAACAAATCTTGCAGACACCTAATTTGGTTTTTCAATGCATTTAGAAAAGACCTATAGGATCTATTTCTCTGACATCATGTACATAATGAGGGTACATTGGCATATTTGTTTTAAACAAGATGAATAAAAGTACTTAATAAAGTTTGGGATTTCCGTCATATTTATACAGAATAGGTCACAGATGTCAAAGTGAAGACTCTACTCTCACTTAATCAGCCCTGCAGTTCAAAGGAAACTTCCTGCCAATGTCCTCAACACAGCCAGACTTTCAATACCTATATCCATCCAGACTTCTCTGCTGTTATATTAAGACGTTGTAACTCAAGTGACTTTTACCTGATTGCCCAAGACCCATGGGCAGAGGCATTCTGACCAGACCTCCAGAATGCTTAAGTCTATCCTGCAAAGACCTTTGTATCAGCTCCATGGTACAGGCCTCATGCCAGACTGGCAGCTCCAGCTCCACCATACAGTTGATTATCCTTTGCTTCTCTTCTTCTGTCAAGTAACCACTTTCTTTGGATACATACACCATGTAAGACATGTCAATGTTCACTGCCTCTCCATGCAGCAGAGATGGGAGAACTTTCTGTATGAAAAAGAAAAAAAAGAGATTGCAAAATGAGGAGTATTATAGACTAGCATTGAACCAAATAGTGGATCTTTATTTAGAATTTATATAAACCTACAACAACATTTATAGATACAATAGGATGCAAGTATTTAAATGTAGTTTTGCAATTCTGTATTAGGTTTGTTTAAGTTGAATAAATACCAACCCAAACTATAGACGTGCATTGTCAAGAAACAGAACAACTAATATTGTGGAATCTTGACTATATGCTGCTCAAGGGGAAGTTAGCCTCTGTGGATGTATCATATGTTGCAAAGCGTGCAAAGGGCCACCTATTTTATCCCCATTTGCAGAGCCAGGGCTGAAAACAACGTCACATTGCTTTTCAGCAAATCAACGCAAAATGGATGGCACAAGAACTGTTGATGACATTGATAAATTTGACAAAAAGTGTTTTATACTACAATCACAAAGCAAATATTTCAAACATTTACCATCTCTAATGCTGGGCTGATTAGGTGGCCGAAGTCCACTAGTCTGTTAAGATCATCCTCCCACAGGTTTGGGGCTAGCTCCTCCAACATGGTTGTGATGGCTATATATGTTGCCTGTGATGCAGTCTGCAAGCAGTTGTTTCCATACGCACTGTTGTCAGCCTGGAATTTGGTGTCCAACAGCATATGGCCCTGTTCCTCAAGAATCTCAAAGAGGCCTCTGTGTTTCATCAAGGCCATCTGTAAAAAAGAAAATATTGAAAATCTAAATGAGCATTTTGTGCACCAAATAATTAAGTACGAACAATAATGAACTACCTGAATTCATCACCCAGAGACAATGATAATTACATGTTCTATTTTTGCTTGCAGGAGGTAGTGAGTTCGTTTAGCTCCTGACAGGTACTTGTACTGGTCAGTGAAAAATGATGATCATATTTTCACTGGAATTGTTGTTTTTTCAGTAGCAGCTCAAGGTAAATATTACACAACTTGACTGTTATATACCTTTAACATCTCAGCCAGACCGTTGGAGATGTGTCTTCGGGGAACAGTTTTTATGAAGGACAGGTCTAGGAAGGAAGCGACAGGTGGAATGTAGGCACCCAGCTTGTTCTTGCAATTTGCAAAGTTAACCCCCGTCTTTGCTCCAATGCTTGCATCGATGTAGGCGAGTAGTGTGGTTGGTACCCTGATGTAAGGGGTACGTCTTCTGTAAAGTGAGGCAGCCAGGCCCACTATGTCCAGGCATACCCCTCCACCAATTGCAATGATGGGCTCTGTGCGGCGGTCAAGAGAAAAAGAGTTGACCTCTTCTACTATGTTCAAGACCATTTCCATGGATTTGTTCTCCTCAGTCGTGGGTAGTGCCAAAATCTTGTACAGAACATTGTTTGTCTCTAAATATTCAGTAAGCTTAGCACCATAAATTTTGTAGACTTCTTGGTCAATGACCACAAAGCGTTTTATTGGCTCAGTGGATTTTTTTAAATCCTCAAGCTGCTGCGAGTCAGTGATGTGGCCAAGCAGGAGTGTGTCATTGCTTGGGTCCAGCAGGCCTCGGCTCTCAGTAACCTTGTATGTGAACACAATGGGGCTCACAACTGTCCAAGAGATCCCCTTTTCTGTCTTGCTCTCAAAGCTACAACACAAAACACATGAAGACATCATTATTGTAATAGGATAAGAAAAGCAATCACTGTAAACCAATTAATTTGTTTAAATTGAACTCAATAAACTCTTTTGATGGATTGTTAGATACAATTGGCTCAAACTGATGCACTGAGCCCTCGGGACACTAAGTTTCTGTATTTGTAATGGTGGGCAATATGTAAATATATGAGAGAAATATAATCTCATATTTCTAAGGAAAAAACATGAACTTAAAATATGGCAATGAAAATCACTTTCAGCAAAGTGTAAATTAAGGATAAAATAAGGCTATTGTAGTGTAAATATAGACGTTTATATCTTGGGACCATTTGTAACCCCCTTATTTTCCTCAGACAGTCCCTGGACTCTGATTTGAGAACCATTGTTTTAACTTGAAAATAAATGACATGTTTCAACCTTACAATACAAATAGCAATAGCTTGAAGCAGTCTTTTATTGGAAAAAAAAAAAAAAAAGCTGGAGGGGAGAGAAAACACAGGAAAACACCAACACACCACAGCCCATATCAGCCGGAAACAGGCTTTACCCACATTTTCTTTTATTCCCATTGCTTGTTGTAGCTGCAGTTTTTTTTAATTCTTTGGTGTTTTATTTCGTATTTTTATCCACACTTGTTCGCTACAGGGTAACATGATAACACCATCCATGAACAAAACTTATTTCAACGCTTTTGATGCTGTATGTATACATCCGATGCATCGTACCTGTCAACCCACCTGTCATCCAATCATGGCTCTGATTGGATGACAGGTGGGCTACTGGCTGTGTCTACGTGTTGTCCAGTGACAGAAGTAATGTCAATAGTGCTCAACAGCGTAGGCATCCAAAGTAGGCACAAACTGCAAGATATTACAACACTTCTATTAACAATATAAACACAATAACAATGATAAAAATTACATTTAAGAAGAAGCGGTAACATTAGCAATGGGTTGTGGGTTCCTCGACTCTGGAAGAAAAACATGTACACAGTCTTGTTCCTTTGCGTATTTCTCTATTTTTCAATTCCATTTTTGCTCCAAATCAAATGTTTTATTGTTACGAGTATTTGGGTAGATGGTTGTCTTGGGTCAAGGCTTCAATCTTCTGATATAAGGATTTAGTGAAATGGCAAAGTAGGATAGGGACAGATCATATTGTATGTAGCTTCTTCTATTACAGTACACACTTGACCTAAGCTAGAGTTCTGTACCTCCTGCAGATGTACAGTCAAAGTGAAGTGCAGAGCCTTTTTTGGTAGAGGTCAGGGTGGTTAATGTAAGAACCACATGTGACACTGACACATTGGCAAGCCTGCAGTTCTAATGTTACTCCTACTAGACCAGCAGTCAGCCTAAGTTTCCACAACCACAAGGTTAATGTTATCAAAGCACAACCGTACTTCTCCTCTTAATGCTTTCTGTTATTTATACCCAAGTTTCTTGTTTTTTTATGTTTATCAGTGACAGTCCTCTTTTGTGTCCATAAAATATTAAATACTTAGAAAGAGATACAAATATATATATAGAAACATTAAAAACGTATTAAAGAAATTAAGTATTTAAACTAAAACGGTTGTAATGAGGATGCTTCTATATATTGTTTCATATTGTTAAATATGAAAGCTTAAATGCTTCATTAAAGTATATGTATTAAATAATACATGTCAGAAAGTGCTACTACTAACAAAGAACCATTAATCAATCAAAACATTTTTAATCAGAGAGTTCTAAATCTTTCTTCTAAGGGCACTTAAAAAGAAATCCAGAGGGTACTTTTTGTTTTTTTTTATCAGCAAGTGGCAGGCAAAAACTTCCTTTCAACATTTACAAAAACCTCAGAAATATAAAAGAGTAACTTCATGACATTGCTTCCTATGACTCACCCACTTTTTAATTTCATTCATGTGTTTGTAATTGAAAAACAATGATATACTCACATTTTTGCAGCAGAGACAGAGTCAACTGTGTCCCTATTGACCTTCTTTCCTCGTTCTTTCCTGCATTTCCAGGTGTCTTTTACCCTTACTAAGCTGAACTCTGTTTTCTTTTCTTTAATACCGTTGTCCTTCAGATGAACCTTTCCCATTCTTGCAAGAGTGTGAAAAGAGCTCGCCCAAGTCTGCAAGTCCACACCAGCAGTCTTTATATACATAATTTTTAGAAGCCTGTGTTGTAAGGAGGAGCATACATAACCAGTGTGTCTACATGCCTTTACATGTTCCAGTTCAAGAGTTACATAACTTTAGCTAATAGTTATTTTAGTAATAGTTATAGTAATTTTACGGTGAAAAAATTATGTTGTGAGTGATAGTTAATAATGTTTGCTAATTATTTGTAATGCTATGATTTATGTTATGCTAACAGTTTATTTTAACATTTTATACTCTATATAAAGTGTTTTTTAATGATTATGAAATATTTGTTAACCCTTTCAGAGATTGTTAATGAAACATCTATAAACATTACATAAATACATGGACTATATATTTGTTACACTTTGTTAATGGTTAATACATATTTTGTAAAGAATCTATTAACATTATTTGGATGCTATTACAAAGTTGCAACTAAAAATTATAATATCTTGTTCCAACTTTTTGATGACCACACAAATAATGTTTATAGCAGTGCTGCACAGTATTTATGAACCATTTACAAGTATTATAAACATCAGTTGCAACTTTACAATAACCATCCAGATAATGATGGTAGATGGTTTATAAACCAATTATTAACCACTGATGAAGTATGAATTATACAGCTAATAAACGTTTATAGATGATTTACAAAGTATTAATAAGATATTATAATCTTTAGTTCCAACTTAATGATAGCCATCCAAATAATATTAAAAGATGGTTTACAAACCAATTATTACGGTGGCCGGTAGGGGTCAAACGCTCAGCAACTGATGAAACGACATATATTTAGAAAAACGTGCAGCATATATAGAAACACTGCACATTCAAAAGCAAATGCAAACTAACACAACAAATGCAAAGCTGCCGTTTAACAAGACCTAATTTCTCAAAGTTGTGTTTTTCCCCCCTACATGTTTTAAAGTCATATTTGCCTGAAATAGAAAGTGGGGCACAGCCCCGGCGAAGCGCTCCGGTGGTGATTAGATAATAAATCCACTTCCCTGTCTCCCTCCCGCAAAAAACACAACTTTGACCAAAGGCTATAGAGGTTACATGACCATGATTTGTACGTGACAGACATACATTCCAGTCACAGCAAACAGCTGCTCACAGCATATGCTTGACTCCTATCCCAATATAGATTTGCTGTTATGAGGTGTTTTACCCATATAGCTTCACAGACCCAAAAGAAGAATTAGCTGGTAGACAGATTTAAATGGTACATTTACAAAGTTACCAAGATGAAGGAATTCATGAAAGTTCATACTAACAGGTGGCAATCAGTTACAAATTATGCAACTAGTAAACGGTGGCTCTTGTGCGCCTTCCTCCTTCCTCATGTGGCACTGCTGCTGTAACCTGACTAAGGAAGCTCCTTCTGACTGCTTCATACAGCGGGCAGACGTGGAGAAAGTGGACCTCTGTTTCTTATTTGTTCCAGTTTACAGTTTTTACAGAGTCTCTTTGCTAAAGGTTTCCAATATTTATGAAGGCCTTTTATGATACCTGTAGCTTAATCTGTACATTGTTAATATGCGTCTATGGGGTTTTTAACACTCAGCTAGAGATATTCAGCTAAAGAGTACCCTCTTTTTAGTAAACAATAACGTTCTCATTTTGTGATGGATTTCATTTTATTTGGCATATATTCAATTGATTTTTAGTTGATAGCTTTCTTTGATAGATTTCAGAGAATCAGTCTTTGGCTACAACAAGTGAACCTGGAATTTGATCGCTTTTTTGATTATGTGGAGAGACAGAGGAAATGTGTTTGTATATTAAGTTGTTTTCAACAAAGTTTGAAAAAAAGGATTGTTAATAGGACATAAACACATTGAGTATGTTAGCATGCACGTTGACATGTTATGTCATATTGTTATAGCTTGATTAGGCCATTTAATTGGAGAACTTTCCTTAGCCCACAAGCACTGGGGGAGAATTGATGGAAGTATGTCCATCACCAATACAGTAGGTGGCAATATGCCTCCTTTCAGCTGGTGACTATTGGACCTTCTTCTTGTTTACCTATTATGTCACATACTGAACAAGTGACAGACGAGTAAGCAAGCATCAGACTGTTTGTATGTTTAACGGTGAAAATATAGACTCATTTACAGCAAATTCTGTACGCTCTCTTTGCTTTACTTGTGGTACATATGACATGCACGCTATCCTACTTATGGCGCTATTTGAAGGCAGGCGGCGGAGGCGGAGCATACACAGAACAGTTTAGGGCCAATTGAGGTTTACATGTATTCAGGCATGAGTATATGAACCCTCAACCACATTATGGTGTGTTTGTCCGATTGGAGAAATTCACCTTGTATGATTTCAGTTCAACCTACAAGTTTACGTGTATTTCAAAAGTCCAGCTTTAGTCGGACTAACGCAATAAATTAACTTTTTTTTTTTAACATCATGTAAACTCACTGGACACAGATGAGTTATTTTTACTACTGAATCTTGTTTCCAGACAATAATGGGTCCCATACTCCAGTTTTCTGAAGCCCTCACAGACCCACACACTTACTGACTGCGTTCATGATGTCACTGAAAACTAAGAGGGTCCAGTGTTTGGCTTTTGGGTAGAAATTGGGATTTGGGCAGGTGTTGACTTTGTGTGTTCTATTAGAACATGACATTACAAGCTTTCTGTGTAAATGTTTAAAAGCCATTTAATTGGCTTAAATTGAATTGAAATACCCAAATGCTGTCAAAATACCTTTATTTAAATTGTATGATCATTGGTACAACTTTTGGAACACAAATTTTGCCCTCCCCTCGTGTTTAGTCTTGTGCAGCAAACTGAACTATAACAAGCATGCGCACGCATTTGCGCCTGTTGTGCAAGCTCTCAGTCACTCCCCTTACAAAGTCATTAGCATGCATGCTGTGATATAACATACAACATATTTCTGAAGATTATGAAATATTTGTTTCTGGAAAGAAGAGGCTCAAAAACATTTTCACATTGACCATTTCAGTAATATTTTCTTTGTTTGCATAGTATGTTTTGGTTTAGGCTATAACTTTCGATAACTTTTGATGTTTTTTAACCCACTTGTCTCCAAAGTTGTAAAAACTGTGAATCGTGTTTAGTCTCGTGCAGCAGCCTGAACTATGACAAGCATGCACACATGTTTGCACCTGTTGTGCAAGCTCTCAGTCACTCCCCTTACAAAGTCATTAGCATGCGTGCTGTGATATAACATACACTCCACCACTACGTCGCTTTATATCACCACTCTACTGACTCCTTACTACGAAATCGTCACGCCCGGTTACTTAACTAAAATGACTTGATACTGTTCTCAAAGTTCCTGACACCCCAGTGGAAGTCCTTGTGGATCTCTTAACAAAACTTAATGAGATAGTCAAAAAAAGTGATAATGTGCCAGAAGGGTTGACTCGTCACTTGCAGAAGGCCTTGGACATAGCAAGTGAGCTGACCTCAGAAAAATGTAATGTTTCCTATTCTAGATTACCAAATAAGCAATTGGTTGCTTATTGTTCAGTAATATGTTGTTGTAATTATTACAATTTGTCATGAAGCCTTTAAAAGACCAATACATAGTTTAGTTTTAGGGTAAAAAAAAAACTTGCGTAAGTTATCTGCCCCTTAAAGTAAAATTTCCCCAGGCAAGTGGACAGCAATACAGTATTTCAATTTAACGTCTAGTTAAAAGATAACTTACATTTAATTTTATTGAGTTTAATTAGCATATTGCAAATGTAGTTATTTGAATTAAGAATGTCTCAGTTTGTGCTCCATTAGAAATGTTGTAGTTGATCATGTGAATGGAATTTGTTCATTATGCTTAAGAAGATATGTGAGATTGTTGCTTTTTCATGTTCATATTTCTGAAGATTATGAAATATTTGTTTCTGGAAAGAAGAGGCTCAAAAACATTTTCACATTGACCATTGCAGTAATATTTTCTTTGTTTGCATAGTATGTTTTGGTTTAGGCTATAACTTTCGATAACTTTTGATGTTTTTTAACCCACTTGTCTCCAAAGTTGTAAAAACTGTGAATCGTGTTTAGTCTCGTGCAGCAGCCTGAACTATGACAAGCATGCACGCGCGTTTGCGCCTGTTGTGCAAGCTCTCAGTCACTCCCCTTACAAAGTCATTAGCATGCGTGCTGTGATATAACATACACTCCACCACTACGTCGCTTTATATCACCACTCTACTGACCCCTTTCTACGAAATCGTCACGCCCGGTTACTTAACTAAAATGACTTGATACTGTTCTCAAAGTTCCTGACACCCCAGTGGAAGTCCTTGTGGATCTCTTAACAAAACTTAATGAGATAGTCAAAAAAAGTAATAATGTGCCAGAAGGGTTGACTCGTCACTTGCAGAAGGCCTTGGACATAGCAAGTGAGCTGACCTCAGAAAAATGTAATGTTTCCTATTCCAGATTACCAAATAAGCAATTGGTTGCTTATTGTTCAGTAATATGTTGTTGTAATTATTACAATTTGTCATGAAGCCTTTAAAAGACCAATACATAGTTTAGTTTTAGGGTAAAAAAAAAACTTGCGTAAGTTATCTGCCCCTTAAAGTAAAATTTCCCCAGGCAAGTGGACAGCAATACAGTATTTCAATTTAACGTCTAGTTAAAAGATAACTTACATTTAATTTTATTGAGTTTAATTAGCATATTGCAAATGTAGTTATTTGAATTAAGAATGTCTCAGTTTGTGCTCCATTAGAAATGTTGTAGTTGATCATGTGAATGGAATTTGTTCATTATGCTTAAGAAGATATGTGAGATTGTTGCTTTTTCATGTTCATATTTCTGAAGATTATGAAATATTTGTTTCTGGAAAGAAGAGGCTCAAAAACATTTTCACAACTTTTGATGTTTTTTAACCCACTTGTCTCCAAAGTTGTAAAAACTGTGAATCGTGTTTAGTCTCATGCAGCAGCCTGAACTATGACAAGCATGCACACATGTTTGCGCCTGTTGTGCAAGCTCTCAGTCACTCCCCTTACAAAGTCATTAGCATGCGTGCTGTGATATAACATACACTCCACCACTACGTCGCTTTATATCACCACTCTACTGACTCCTTACTACGAAATCGTCACGCCCGGAAACGAGCACCATGCCAGCCAACAAGAGATGGGGAGAAGAGAGAATATAGAAGAGAATATGTATGAGCAGAAGCAAGCAAGAATGTTAACAAACCTTTCAACATGGAGCGGACACATTAAGCAGTGTCTGGAAATTTGAATCTTCCAAAAGTTAATTCACTCATTACTGGCAATTATCTCTAGCCAATCAGATGTATCCCTACTTTTCAGCCTATCACATGTGCACAATGCTACATGGGGTATGAGCGAGACATCCGAGCAGAGGAGTATCAAAAAAAACCAAACACAAATGCATTAAACGATGCACCAGACCTTTGCAAGCATCAACCACATACTTAGTCAACAATTCTTTAAAATTATGAGTCATATTATTGACTATTGAATTCATGGATATCTTTTTAGAGGTTTTTAAGAAAAAAATTAGAACAGAATCATTAACACCAGTGTAATCCTTTAGATATCATGGTTAAGTGGCAAAAAGGAGCCAAAGACAGTTATAGGTTTATTATCTTATATTATATTATAAGTACACAATGATTTAGTTTTTGCTAAACATACTTGGTGCTGCACACATTATGACCGTCAATACATTTTTGAATAACAAAACAGATGAAAACAGAAGCCAGACAAAAAAACATCTCCTTTTGACCTAGGATGGTGAGATTTGTAATGAGAACAAAGCCATCAGATTTCCAAGTCTATTCTGTCACATGCAGTCTTACCCCACCTCCCCTCTCAGAGATATTCTACAATATTTAAATGTCACAGGGCATAGATGCAAAATCAAACATGAGCTACTTCAACCTGAAAACAGAACTTTGATTTGACCACAGAAAAATGTAATGATTCTTATTCTAGATTAGCAAATAAGCAATTGGTTGCTGATTGTTTAATAATATGTTGTTGTAATTATCACAATTTATCATGAAACCTTTGAAAGATCAATACATAGTTTAGTTTTAGGGTAAAAAAAAAAAATTAAAAAAACTTGCGTAAGTTATCTGCCCCTTAAAGTAAAATTTCCCCAGACAAGTGGACAGCAATACAGTATTTCAATTTAACGTCTAGTTAAAAGATAATTTACATTTAATTTTATTGAGTTTAATTAGCATATTGCAAATGTAGATAATTGAATTAAGAATGTCTCAGTTTGTGCTCCATTAGAAATGTTGTAGTTGATCATGTGAATGGAATTTGTTCATTATGCTTAAGAAGATATGTGAGATTGTTGCTTTTTCATGTTCATATTTCTGAAGATTATGAAATATTTGTTTCTGGAAAGAAGAGGCTCAAAAACATTTTCACATTGACCATTTCAGTAATATTTTCTTTGTTTGCATAGTATGTTTTGGTTTAGGCTATAACTTTCAATAACTTTTGATGTTTTTTAACCCACTTGTCTCCAAAGTTGTAAAAACTGTGAATCGTGTTTAGTCTCGTGCAGCAGCCTGAACTATGACAAGCATGCACACACGTTTGCACCTGTTGTGCAAGCTCTCAGTCACTCCCCTTACAAAGTCATTAGCATGCGTGCTGTGATATAACATACACTCCACCACTACGTCGCTTTATATCACCACTCTACTGACCCCTTTCTACGAAATCGTCACGCCCGGTTACTTAACTAAAATGACTTGATACTGTTCTCAAAGTTCCTGACACCCCAGTGGAAGTCCTTGTGGATCTCTTAACAAAACTTAATGAGATAGTCAAAAAAAGTGATAATGTGCCAGAAGGGTTGACTCGTCACTTGCAGAAGGCCTTGGACATAGCAAGTGAGCTGACCTCAGAAAAATGTAATGTTTCCTATTCTAGATTACCAAATAAGCAATTGGTTGCTTATTGTTCAGTAATATGTTGTTGTAATTATTACAATTTGTCATGAAGCCTTTAAAAGACCAATACATAGTTTAGTTTTAGGGTAAAAAAAAAACTTGCGTAAGTTATCTGCCCCTTAAAGTAAAATTTCCCCAGACAAGTGGACAGCAATACAGTATTTCAATTTAACGTCTAGTTAAAAGATAATTTACATTTCATTTTATTGAGTTTAATTAGCATATTGCAAATGTAGTTATTTGAATTAAGAATGTCTCAGTTTGTGCTCCATTAGAAATGTTGTAGTTGATCATGTGAATGGAATTTGTTCATTATGCTTAAGAAGATATGTGAGATTGTTGCTTTTTCATGTTCATATTTCTGAAGATTATGAAATATTTGTTTCTGGAAAGAAGAGGCTCAAAAACATTTTCACATTGACCATTGCAGTAATATTTTCTTTGTTTGCATAGTATGTTTTGGTTTAGGCTATAACTTTCGATAACTTTTGATGTTTTTTAACCCACTTGTCTCCAAAGTTGTAAAAACTGTGAATCGTGTTTAGTCTCGTGCAGCAGCCTGAACTATGACAAGCATGCACGCGCGTTTGCGCCTGTTGTGCAAGCTCTCAGTCACTCCCCTTACAAAGTCATTAGCATTCGTGCTGTGATATAACATACACTCCACCACTACGTCGCTTTATATCACCACTCTACTGACCCCTTACTACGAAATCGTCACGCCCGGAAACGAGCACCATGCCAGCCAACAAGGGTAAGATTACAGACCGCACAGTTCGTAACTTTGGATGACTAACTCTATTGGAGTCTAGTGAATACGGTATGGCACAGGCTATTTGCAGATCAGATGCACCGCTACATGCTGTCTGTTGCCTACACTGCCTTGTGTCTCGTCTGTGGTGTGGAGAGAAAAGTGTGTGTAGGCTGTGTATAAATGTAATTTCGAGCAGGGCCATACGTTTTGTCAAAAAGTGATTTCAGGACGTTAATTTATCAACGACCAACATCCACCCACATTATTATTTTCTTATATAGCCTACTGTTGTGTCCACTCTGTTGAATATGAATGTTAAGATTATTGATAGCAGAGAATATTACGCTGGTAATCTACAGATCATTTCATTATCAACTAACTAATTGAAATACAACGTTTTTGTAGATGATTGTAGACCTAGATGTGATAAATATTTACCCAGCCAACTACAAAAACAAAATGAGAAATAAATTCAACTTTTTTTGTATCTCATTGTTTGTGCAGTTTTGCATCTTCTTTTTCTTGGCTATATTAAGACATGGACTGTCTGTCTTTAGGACAAAGCAAAGAATGAAACTCAGGTTCAGGCGTGGGGTGGTTATAACTGGCATTTTCCCACATTGTTCTGTCATTAGTTCATTAAATTGAGAAAATAACAGGAAAGTCAGTGACCAGTATTTAGAGGTTAAGCCCTTCATTCTGTTGAAAAATGAAGAACTGTGTAGAGAGAGTTGATAAATGACTTAACTAAAATGACTTGATACTATTCTCAAAGTTCCTGACACCCCAGTGGAAGTCCTTGTGGATCTCTTAACAAAAGCTAATGAGATAGCCAAAACAAGTGATAATGTGCCAGAAGGGTTGACTCGTCACTTGCAGAAGGCCTTGGACATAGCAAGTGGCCTGGATGACTACCTGGAAAAAATGACCACACAGGAGAGTAAACCTCTGGCAGAACTCTATGAGTATGGCTTGGCTTCCCACACATAATCTACAATTCTATAAACTTGTGAGGCAAATTTGTTAATTTTTTGATTTATTCTTTTTGTAGGAAAACAATTTCCCATGACTGGGAACAAGTGCACAAGGAGGGCAAAACCATATTCAAGCTTCCCAAAGAGTGCATCACTGGACATGTTGAAGGTCTGACATTTTGATGTACTGCTCATTGTCATTATATTCCCTGTTATAGCATATTGCAACTTTTTTTTTTTTTTGTCAGGCCAGACCCTCAAGATGCTGATTCACATGAGTCAAGCTAAGAGGGTTCTGGAGATTGGGATGTTCACAGGCTATGGTGCACTGTCAATGGCCGAAGGTCTTCCTGAAGATGGCTGCTTAGTTGCCTGTGAGTTAGAGCCGTACCTCAAAGACTTTGCCCAGCCAATTTTTGACAAGTCTCCACACGGAAGAAAGATTAATGTCCATACTGGACCTGCCATGGACACCTTAAAGGTGAGCGAAAAAGAAACATTTCAACTTTAAAGGACTGTCAGAGAAGACTCGGACACAGTCATGTGCATAATCCGAGCAGAAAAATATTAACCCTGACTCCTCTTTTTTTAAACTTTAGTAGGCCGGGGGATCCGTTTTTTAATGACCCTCTGTCTTTTCTAGGAATTGGCTGCTGCAGGGGAGCAGTTTGACATGGTGTTCATCGACGCGGACAAGAATAATTATATTAACTATTACAACTTTATTTTGGACAACAACCTGCTGAGATTGGGAGGGATCATATGTGTTGATAACTCACTGTTCAAAGCTAAAGTTTATCTAAAAGACTCCACAGATGACAATGCACTGGCTCTTAGAGAATTTAACCAGTTTGTCTGTGATGATCCCCGCGTGGAGCAGGTACATTTCAATTTTACTACATTTACTACATCTACATGAAACTGTGTTTGTTTTATTTGTGCTTGACCGTTTTTCAATGCTGCTTTTTGTTTTTAAGGTCATAATCCCTCTAAGAGATGGGATCAGTTTGATCCGTCGGGTATCTGCTGTTTTGGAAAGCTCAGTGACCCAGGTAATGTTTAGAGACTTCAAGGAGCAAGTGCTGATATGATGACCTATAACTGTCTGCATTACTTTTCATTAAGTTAAATTGCCTTTCTCACTGACTTATCAGCTGATCTTCTTTATTTGTATAAGAGTAAAATAACAGATGACGAAGTTTTCCGCGGGGTCAAAGGACGCTCCATCCTCGATCGAATGCGACTTGATGGAAAGGTGGCCTATGTAACGGGTGCTGGCCAGGGCATAGGCCGGGCTTTTGCTCATGCCCTGGGTGAGGCTGGTGCAAAGGTGGCCATTATAGACGCTGACAAAGATAAAGCTGAGGCAGTTACTAAAGAGCTTTTTCTGAAAGGTAAGAAATGTAGACACAAAAAAGACTTGGGTCTGAGCTTCAAAGCCCTGTTATATTCCCACAATTCCTGCACTTCTAACTCTTTAGCTGAGTAAACAAACTGTTGTTCACACATCTATGTATCATTCTCCCTTTACATGCCCTATATACCTTTACACCTGATTGGCCAAGTGGTTAGCTCTGTCTTACAGTCAGCTATAGTATGACTGCTTATTTCTGCTATTGATCTTTCAAAATCAAATTTGCTGAATACCTCTTGGTTAATTAATAAATGTAAAACATGAAACAAAATAAAATGATAAATCAAAATTTCAACGAATATAAAATAAAGATTCAATTTCCAATATAATCAAAAAGCAGAACAATTGATCGTTGACTAGCAGTTTTTATTTTGATTAATAATTCATCAAAATTGTAGTTTTCTTCCTGTCAGATAATAAATTCAATGACCAGTTCCTATTTGCAGCTCTTATTTCCCTTTGTGTGCTCTCATTGTTGTTACTGAGTCATAATGTAAGAAAACATCTGTTTTTCAAAGTTGTGTTGAGAAAATAAATCCCCCTTTGCTGTCTCCATTTCTAAATGTAAAGCTTACAAGGAGACGGTCATTATTTTGGAGCAAATGCATGAGAGTTAAATAAAGTTAAACTATAAGTAAAGTCATTTCCTGAAAATTTGAAATGGCTATTACATGGAGCAATCCATTCAAAGCAACAAATTTAAGGAATCAGCTAAAAAAGGGGGCCGAACAGTTCATGTTTCAGGGTTTATGTGAGAACCTCTGTGAAATCACAGACTCTTGACTGATGCCATAGATTCTTAGTGTGGTTAGTTTTTGATTTTGGCCAGCAGAGGGCAGCAAAATAAAGGATATACTTTGTCAGGATGATGTTCCTCTGAGCCTCAGTTGTTCATATATCTTCTCTTTATCTCTTTAAAGCATTAAATGGCATTTGGATTGACAAAAACAAAGCAATTTTCATTCACTTTTCTTTTTTTTATTTGCTCTACCTTCTAATAATATTTTAAATATTGATTGTCTAAAGTGTTCAAGTATAGAAGTGGCTTTAATGCATATAATGTGGCTTAATCTACAAAGTGCTCTAAACATTCTAAACATTTTTTTTATACAGGCATCAATGCCATTTCCATCACAGCTGACATTAGCAAACCAGTTGATGTCCAGAGAATGGTTGATAACATTGTCTCCAGATGGGGGGCCATTCACATTGGCTGTAACAATGCAGGAATTAATTTGAACTCAGCCAGTGAAGACACCAGTCTAGAGGAGTGGGACCAAACCTTTAATGTTAACCTGAGGGGTACTTTCATGTGTTGTCAGGTTTGTACCACACTGTGTGTGTGTGTGTGTGTGTGTGTGTGTGTGTGTGTGTGTGTGTGTGTGTGTGTGTGTGTGTGTGTGTGTGTGTGTGTGTGTGTGTGTGTGTGTGTGTGTGTGTGTGTGTGTGTGTGTGTGTGTGTGTGTGTGTGTGTGTGTGTGACTACCTAAGCTTACATTTGCAAAATTGTATTACACAAAATATGCATTTTTCTTTTGTTCTATGCATTTGTATTCCAACACATTTAACACTTCAAATGTAAACATTTTATTTTTTTAATTAACTAGTTTTAACTCAAACATAAAAGTGAATTCAAATATTACTAATAAAACCTAAAAGACAAGATCATAGTATTATCAGGTGAGGGCAACATGATTTTTGGTTTTTGTAATTTTATTGGTAATGTAATGTATTGGAAATTAAAAGTTAAGTTATTTTGCAGTTAATCGTCAGTGAGTAAAAACTGTTGGTCTTTCAATCATCTGAAATTTGAAAAAATCCGTTGGTACCTTTTCTGAAACTTTTTAATCTTTTATTCAAATAATTTAAGGGGGGTTGAAACGTTTATTTTATTGATGGCTACTATTTAACAAAAATAAACTGGAGTATTTGTAGTTATGCAAAGCTGCAATGTTTAATTATGGAAGAATCTTTTGATTAGAAAAATAAAATATGTTTCTATTTCAATTAATTTACAAAAAAAAAAGTAATCCTTAAATGACTACATAAATTTTTACCATTTTTAAATAAATGTTTGTTAAAACCATGATAGCCTATGGTCAGTTCGGCCTCACCTTTTCGGTAGTCAGTCAAAATTCACTCAGCTGCCTCAAATGCTGTTGAACCTCTATGTTTGCCCCCAAAAACTAAAACTAAGGTTTTTAATGTGTATCTCTCCTCTGCATTTTTGCCTTAGGCAGCAGGCCGAGTGATGTTGAAGCAAGGTTATGGTAAGATAATCAACACAGCCTCCATGGCCAGTCTGATAGGTGAGTGATGATTCTGTTCCTGCACATTTTCTCTTGAGCCCCCACATGTCTGCTTTTAATATCTGAGTTTTGCATGAAGAGTCGTGTCCAGATCAGGAAGGGAGAATTAAATACCAACAAGCTATACAGCTGTGTGCACAAACACATTTTACAATAAACAGTTTTTTAGGTTGAAAGAGAGTTATCCTATCTGATTGAAGATCATTACATGGGCAAAGTTGAAAGAAGCAGTTTTCCTGTTTATGAGAAGCTTAGGTTGAACCTGCTCATTTAAAGCAGGATTAGTCAGCTTTTGTGTTTTGCAGTTCTTATCCACTTAAACTCTGCTCTAAAGAGATTCAGCCACCCTTGTATACAGTGAGCTTTGCAGAAAACTGTTGTAATTGCATCTTGCTGAGGTGCTTTTGCATCATAATAAACATCCCCTCTCTGTGGAGATGTTTAGAGGATGTAAAAGGCGACCTGAGGTACAACAAGGGAAGGGAGGGTTCCTGTGCAACGGCAAAACCCAAACCTGTGCCAGCAGCGTTGTTTGAACAGCGGAAGACACTTTTAGACTGTAGTGAGTGCCGAGTTAAAGGCTTGAAATGTGTAGCACTTGTGTATTGTTCCTCCAACAGGTTCCTCCAGAGGAACAGCAACACTTCATCAGCAGTATAGTCAAACAGCCAGTAAACTGCTATGCCATATGGGCCACAGTCCCATCTGCAGGGGCAATCTGTAAAACAGGAGCATGCTGGTAAATAGAGGCCAGCATAAAAAAATGATCAATTACTCACATTACGTACAGTCCTTCAGGAATTTACTTTATTGGTCTGGACATCTGTTATAATATTGTCATAATGTGTAATCAGATGGGACCTGTTCTAGCCAAGTGGAAGCCCAAAAAGCAGCCGTAAATGCCCAATTAAAATGCTCAATGACAGCTTTTTGTCCATCTGCTGAATAGATTGTGTGTGGAGGGGGTGTTGTTGGGCACACGCGCACACACACACACACACACACACACACACACACACAGTTCACAAAGTCCCAACCATCAACCTTTTTTTTTTTTTTTTCCAAATAATGGCCAGCAGATCAAAGACTCCCAGACAGGAAATATCCAAGTAAATATGGTCACATTCTGCTTTTTGGCTGAGGACCTTTAAGAGGCTTTGTGACTCTCATACCTGCAGACATCTGCTGCATAGCAATTCACATTAAAACAGCCACCATTCTGGGAAAAAAAAGAGCATTATTTGAACTCTGAAGAATTCAAAATGTAAAGGCAGGCCTGATAAAGAGCATGTTTTCTCCCACTTGAAATGGGCAACAAGTAACAGGGTGAATGTTAAAGAGGGCTTTTGAGAATGCTCTCCTGCTAACTCCCTTTCCTTCTCTGGGGATTACTGCTCTTTAAGACAGCGAAAACATCAATGCAGGTTTATTTAAAGGATGAAGGCATTTTCTGAATGGTATTTTGGGGCCGTATCATCAGGTCTTGAGCGAGGATTAGTGCTGTTAGGCATTTTGAGCTGTGTTTCCTGTCCTGATAAGTCGGATTTCACCTTCAATCTGCGTGTAAGCCCTGGGCTCTGCCCCTCCTTGCCTGCTCCTCTGAGGTCGTAGCCTATCCTTATCCAGCCCAGCCCAACCGAACATTACCTTTGTCTGTTATCTATACACAATCCCACTCAAGCACACTCTCAGCCACAGTTCTGTTATCCCACCCTTTACATCTTATTTCTTACTCCGTCTCCAACTTTTACCTCTGTCCTGGAAATATATCCTTTATTTGAGCTAGGGATGCGGGATGCTGCAGCCCTTTCTCCCCTCTCTGCCTCTCTGCAGCTGGCTGGTATTCATCATCGCGGTCTCACACTGAAGCCATTTGGCAGTCAGATCGACGGGTGCTGAGGTTAACTACTAAAGTTGTATGTAACTTGGAGCTTTTCTTGTGATGATTAATCAACCAGCAGAAAATGAGCCCCTGTCCCGGCATCCCATGCAGTGTGCAGCATCTGGGATGGTCAAGGCAAACAAATGACTACCTGTCTTTGTTGCTGAGGACAGAGCATAACTGGACATAATAAGCGATTAATTTTACATGACCACGTCCGCAGAGGCCTCAGCAGCTAATGGAAGAGCTTTTATGTAGTATCAACAAGAACCACATGAGCTGATATATGAAGTGCATGCTGTAAGCCCCTGTGAGAAAAGAACTGTTCTCTGTTAAGAAAGAGAATAGTAAGAGTAAAAACATTTACAATAACCTGTAAATTTCCTAAGTGCCTCCTTTTATTAATGATGCAATAAATGTTCTCTGTATATAACACTGTGCTTTAATCTTTCTATCCTCGTCCTTGCAGTCCCACATCCCCAGAAGCAGCTCTCCTACAATACGTCAAAGGCTGGAGTGGTCAAACTGACTCAGACTCTAGGCACTGAATGGATTGAAAGAGGAGTGTGTGTCAACTGCATTTCACCGTGAGTACTGTCCATTCTCAGCCTTCTTTCTCCTACCGCTATTTGCCAAAACACACGGTTCCACCTTTTGAGCATTTTAAGGGACAGAGCTGCCAGAGAAAGTGGTGATTAGTGTGTTTGCTTTCATATGAAGAGCCCCATTTAGGAATGATGCACTAATTTAAATCCTCAAACAATACATCAGTTCTTAATTAGATGATGTCTTGAGGGATGAATCAACCAAACACTTGCTCTAATTGTTCTATTCAATTAGGGAATCAAATTTGCACCCTCATTTAAAGTGTCGCCGCAACAATAGCGCCTTGTTTGTATCTATTTGTCTGTGAAGCTGAGCAGGGGGAAGAAAACAGTAAGAACACAGGGCGGGTTGTGTGTGACTGTGTGAGGAGGGGGTTTAGTGAAGCGTCCCTTAGCCCCAGCCATCCCTGAGCAAAATCCGTCCGGTGGCACTAGGCGAGCCAGCACAGTCATAGCCCCAGAACAAAGCCCTCACACACGCTTCACGCTCAGCTTTATTTATCGGCAGCTTGTTTGCTAATTTTAATTTGCAGAGAAGCATTTGTCTCTCCCCTCGCTTACTGGGCGTCTCAATGGGCTGCTGATTTCTTTGAAGTGACAGTCGGTAAATATGCATAAAAAAGGGACACAATTAGTGCTCACGAGGTTGACTGGAGCCTGATTCTATTGGCAACTTTAGCCGTGGTGGTGATAAGCTGCATTATCTAGAAAATTGGCTGAGGGAAAACAGTACCTCTGATTGCCAGCAAAGGTTCCAGATAACAGGGCAGCTGAAGTGATATATAATTGAGGTGGAATATGTTAACCATGATGTCTTGGGGTTCTTAGAAGTCCTAGTTTATCCAGTGTTAGAATTCAATATCAAGGCAGCAGAATACATTGAACAACAATTCAGGCCTCAAGGCTTTTTAGTCAGTGTCACGTCAGTTGTGAATGTCATTCGATGTCGTTTGTTTAGAAGAAAGTGGTGTAAGCTCTGTTACAAGTAGAAAGGGTATCGAGAGAACTGCTTATGTTGTGATTGAGTAAATGTGTTGCAGAGCTATTGGATACTAATACAGTACACCCACTAAATCTTAAGCATCCTTTTATTTTTTATAAATTCCTCCTGAATTCTTTGAAAATTTGAACTGGAATCAGAGCAGGGATATTAAGGAGTTGCATATCATATGAGCAAATTATGCCAGATGTCCCCTTACACCCATGTGGCTCTTCATGAGATGGGCTGCTCATCTGAGTACCACTAGTCCCACAGTAAATATCATCAGAGATGTCATGCTATGCCCTTTCTCCAAAGGATAATTGGGTTTATTTTTGTCACCAAAGTGGTGGCTCTGAAGCAATGCTGTCACTCCTGTGATGCCTTCTGATTCAATTTTGCCCCCACCCCCACCCCTTTTCTCTCACTTTCTTTTTGTCTCTCTTTTCAGGGGGATTGTTGACACCCCTCTCATCCACTCAGAGAGTTTGAGGCCGCTTGTGCAGCGCTGGCTGTCAGATATCCCCGCTGGTAGACTGGCTCAAGTGACAGACCTGCAAGCTGCAGTGGTCTTCTTGGCATCTGATGCCTCTGACTACATGACAGGGCATAACTTAGTCATAGAGGGTGGGCAAAGTCTCTGGTAGATGGGGTAGATGAAGAGATGAAAACTTTTATCCCCTCTTTACTCTCTTAGCATAAGTCTCTCTTATATCTTAGGTTTGATGTATATAATCTCCTCAAGACACGTTAAACACAGTATTAATTAAAGTGGTAATATTTAGGTATGTTAACGTTTGTTTCATTGTTTGATAAGAAATCTGTAAGCTTTCATTTCTGTGTTGGGTATGTAGGTTCAGTTTGTTGTGCGCTATGGCTGGAAAAATGATGCCAGTTCTTATCAAACAGTGGAAATGTCATATGTCATAAATAACTCATTTTCTTAAAGAAAGTGGAGAAAAAATGTGAACTGAAAAACACAGTTTGTTTTTCTTAAAGCAACCCCTGATTATTTTCTCTCTGTTATTGCTGCATGTTCTCTATGCTTTACTTCATCCTAAAACAATTAAGATAATTGTGGCTTTTAGCATTGTCTTACAGTAAGACACAATCTCTCTTAATTCATTTTCCATATATATAAAAAAAAAAAAGAGCTTTAGTTTTTGTTCTTTGCTGGAAAACAACAGGGGTGACATTTTCGTATTGAGAAAAATAAAAGGACATCTGCTTTTCTTGAGCATGCAAAACACATGAATAGATCATACAATAACTAAATAAACTGGCACAACTGTGCTTGTTTATCACACTCTGTACACTGTATTTTAGGGTTAAAATAAATAATAAGCATTATATATTTTTTACAGACTACATGGAAAGTACAACATACTGGTCCATTCAAACCACAAAAGGGTAAAAGTGAGATGTATTGTGCACTGTCTGCACCTTGACTTACCACTCCCTCTGGTCCAAGACTCTTGTGTACCATATGCAGGATTACAGCATTCCAGTCTGCCTCTTTCCAGCACTTTCTTGCCAAATGGCCCCCACAAGTGGTGCTTGTGAGTGCCTTCTTAATTGCTCCATTAACTGTTTGTGTGCTGAAAAACAATACTTAAAGGAGAGGTTAGCCGAGGACGTGACCCCAGCTGCTGCAATTATATGAAAAGTAGTGGCCAATTAGCTCACTCTGTAATGTGACACTGTTGGTGTTTATGTGAGCAACTTCAACTTCTCACTGTTAGTGACTGTTCTCTGATTTACATAATTGGGGGATTGGTCATTAATGGGAATGGCGTGTGAGAGGATCCCATTAAGATATGGAGTGAGATCTGATCATCTCCATTGCTCTCTGCTATTTATCTACAGCTGCAATGGAACATTAGAAGTTATTGGGATTCTTATCCTCATATTTTATGGTAAAATATAAAAGTTTTCCAGTGTGTGAGCACAAGGTCTAGGAGAATTTGTTCACATAAGAGGCACATTTTCTCTTGGCGGCCATTTCCTGTCTTGCCACTGAGGGGCAGTATAGAGACAAGCAGCTGCAGCACTGACACAAGGACAAAAAGTTGCAACAAGAGCATATCACATTATTTTCCATCATCCTAAGTAATAACAATGAACTTTGGCATACGTGTATTTAACAGAATGAGAACAACAATCTGATTCAAGTATGCAAAAAGCTCAACCTGATAGTCAAAGAAATGCATTATAAAGACATTTACAATTAAATGTTTTGTTTAGTGGACAGTTGATTTTTTCTTTTTGAGATATTTTTATTAGTTTTAACTTAAAAGATGGACAGCAGAATTTAAAATATATCCTTTACAGTGTTCAAAGATAGTGACATGCAAATATTAGGTCTTAGTTGATGAAGAGCAATACCCATTTGCATTTATGGATCGTTGTCATCGCTGTTATTTTTTTTCATCTCCAGGTCAACCAAAAGTGGTGCAATGACATTTTGTCTGTTTACATCAAAGCTTTTTTACCCTCTGTCCTCTCTCAAGCCATTCAATATCATCACTCCGAGGCAGTGTCTAAACTGTTGTTTTGTCATCATGTTTTGCTCTTTATTAAACTCTTTAAAAGCTCTCCTTGAAAGTTCGTGTTTTCTTTACAATTGCAACCAATAGAGCCGAAACTATAATTTGAGCAACAAATTGTGTTTTCCCCTTTGAATGCCGTAGCCTGCTTCAAGCTGTGTAAGTGATCTTGAATCCATTATTTCTGACACTCTTTTGCTACCATTACAGTGAAGAGCGGGACCCTGTTGTACATAGTGCTGTTTAGCTAAACAGTTCTTCAGCCGAAAAAGGCACTTGTGCCCTCACACTGAAAATCAACTTTGATTAACTCTCGGCTCTGTCACGGCATGCAACATTTTACGGCAACAGCCATTCTGTGGGAGACCCCGGTCGACGGTGAACAACGCAATGAGGCAATGTGTGTTGCTGAGCAGGTTGTGTCCTGGTGACGAGAGGACCCAAGGTTTTATGGATGACATATTAACATTTGACATTATCAATACACTTTTATTGATGGATTATGGCATTCTGTTACATACCCACTCAGTGCGCTGTTTGAGGATGAAATGTTACCTATTATAAATTGAATCGTGTCCCTGATGCTATCATCAGATGTATGACTGTGTAACAGCAAAAGGAAAATGTCAACATTTATCTTCCAATGAGAACTGAGAGTGTTGTGTGAACTGCATACTCAAGAAGCTAGACGATTTAATCCAACACATTTACCTGGAGCAAAAAGTGATCGTCATTGCAGCCAAACATTGGGTCAGTTTGATTCAAAATACAAAAACAACTTTACCTTTTCAGCCTCATACATTATTTTAAGTGCTAATTTGTCTAAAGATAATGTTGTTAAACCAATGATATGAATAAAGACAGAGGGTTTACGGTAATCTGTTAATATGAGAGGAATCTGATATTTCTTACTGTATTGACAACAGAGTGTTGTTCTATTGTGTAACAAAAAAAGCAAACTTTTTAAGTCGTTTAATTTTGATCATGAGAGGTTGCATCAAACCTTGCGTTGTCTACCGGTGTTGCTGACTTCTCATGGCATGACTTTAACTGGATGCTTACACTGTACAGTAATCAGATGGCCTGCCAATGAAAAATTGTGATGGTTTGTCAAGCTGCATATTTATATTTTGTTCTGTTTGAATGCTTTGTGTAGTGATTCTGCTAATCATTGACAAGTTTTAACCAAGATCCTGTTTTAGGTATTATTTTTCCCCGTTACTTGCTTGGCCTTTATCAAACCGGATATTCTTTAATTTCCTAACAGTCTAAATATTTTATTGTCAAATCAACACTTCCTGACATTTTTCTTTCATGATTATTAAAGGCAGCAACAAGGCAGATGTGTTATTGTTATACCAGTTTCCAGACTTGATTATCACTACATTATATTTCACATGACATAAAGAGGTGTCTTAAAAAACATTTAAGTGTCCACATTATTTTATTCTAAAGGGCTATTCTAAGGGCTTTTATTCAAAAAGCACACTGAGCGGGGAAAACGTTGCACTTGGAGTTCTCTAATTACAATGCAGCTAATGTGTTATTTCCTTCCCAAGTGAGATTACTTTCATCTTTCCCATTAAGATGCACGTTTTGTTTGGATACTCAAATTACAAACCCCATATTAAATCTGACTGTGCAAAAGGCATTGATCATAGCCCCGATAGCTGCACTCCAACTTTGATTTAATTTGCACTTCCATTAATATCTATGAGACGTCCGATTGTCGTCTTGGGCATATTGATGGTATTGTAAGCCCTGCCTTCATATAATGTTCCCCAGCGGCAATGAGGAAATGTTACAGAGAATTAGGCCGAGAAGCAGGCTCAGTGGAACTGGCACTGCAGTCAGAAATTCATTACCCTAATAAATGGGGGGGAGGGTGTCTTAAGAGAAATTTCTCTCTTCCTCCATCTCTCTCAACACAAAAACACAAAAGCCCTCACTTTGGACTCCGAGTGGATGACTAACTTAGATGCTTCCTATTATAGCTGCCCGTTCACCCAAGGGTCATCTTCGAACGGCTAGGAGAGCCTTTAAAATGTGCCTGACAATTCAGTGCAAAGGCAGTCACTTATTGCCTGTCCATCAAATAGCTTTATGTCTACAAACTGAACTATTTGGATCCATACAATAACAGCTTTGTTTCATTGAATTTATTTAATCTTCAGAATATACTGGAAGAAAACACGATACTGTAGTGGATTCCTTTTAGGCTAGTAAAGTGTCAAACCATGCTGATTTCTTTTGTTGATTAATGAAGTGCCAATGAGAATATGTACTCTTTCCCTCCTTTGTTGCAGCCTTGACATGCTGTTTCCTATGGGGAAAACACTAGTGGAGCCCAGAGACATGAGTTATGCTGTAATTAAAGCAATCATGAAGATGAAAATAGCTGTTGTTGCATCTTGAAGACTGTAATGAAGAGTGTGTGAACCAAGGAGGAGGAAGATTCATTGTTTGGTGACTGTGTTCAGAGACTGTGCTTTTTTCCCCGAGTCTTCTCAAAGTCTCATCAGTATATCTTTCAAAAAGGAACATCTCTGAAACAAAATATGTTTCACTGCATCTTCCTGTAGCATGCTTGTCATTCCAGACAAGCTTTTTCAGTGGATGGCACAATTTCCCCTTTTGTTTTCAAAAAAGAGGGAGGGCTTCTGTTCCCTTACAATACTGCCACAGTGATTCATTTTCAGGTCATTAAAAAACTCGGCTTTTGAAAATGTTAGGCTGCTCAGGTGGCGAAGCCTGTACAGGGGAGACATGTCGTAAATAAAGGCAGCTACATTTCAAATGCAATAAATAGGGGACACCTAAGGACCTTGCATGATTGCAGACATCTAATCATTTAATTTATGCGTGTCTAAAGGAGCCCTCATTAACATTCAAGTAGCACTCATCTGTCTAGTGGGATCATTCCAACGGCTGCATCACTCTCAGACGGAACATAGGCTATCTATTTGGGCAACACAGCATGGCTACGCTCAGCAAGCACCTTCTCGCTATCCTCCTCAATGTCATGAGAGACACAGCAAGTTACTCTCATAATGTACAGAGTGTGATTTGTGATCCAGTGATTGTGTTGCTGTTAATGTGGAGAACCTTTGACAAAGGTAAAGCCATATTCTCTAGGTCACAGTAGGCTACAGTGTTGGGACTAACACACCTGAATGTGTTGCAGCAAATCACTCAATGCTTTTTTCACAGCAGTCTGAGTAAGGGAGCACATGTGCCTCGTGGAATGCAGCTTTTTTTTTTTTTTTTTTTTAAAGATAGTCATCAGCAGACTTCGATGAGGACAAGCAAAGCCTTTGATGTTCATTTTTGAAAATTGTTTAGAGTCTTCGTTAGCTCTGTGATCCTGCATCAGACCTTATTGTCTGCCACTGCAGATAAATGCACGACAGAAACTCAATATTAATTGCCATGGATTGCTTTTGACGCATGCTGGTTGACAGCTGCATTGTTCTCATTGGTCACGTTTTATATTCAACACATTAAAGCATTGGGATCCTTTGCACTCTTAAGGACTGATGGCACGAACACTTGACTGTTAAGATGAGAGATAGAGATGGTCTTTCGATGCTGAAGAATAAAGTCAAGTTTCCTTCATTCTTCTGTGTCTTTTTACAGGAGATTTTGTGAGGAGTTATTGGCACTCATTTCATGGACCATGTAAAACTTCCTATAAATGGTCTGTTGCACGAGTAACATGTCCTCTAAGTGAATTGCATTCCTATTGTGAACATGATAGATGGATAGATATACAGTGGGAAATTGTGATGCACAGCAGCAGTTCATCAAAGCAAATTAAAGCAACAGAATAATAATTACACGCTAAATAAACCTTTACAAATATAAAGAAGAAAAAAATATAAACATATAAGCCTACATCCAGAGTTTAGTTTAAGGTTCAAGACAAGAGTGAGTGAGTACTCTGAGGTGATACACTAAGAAATTGCTGTAAATTTACAAGTAAATGTCAACAGTATGATCCTGTTATGTTTAAATACAGGACATTACTGTATTATAACGGTTTATAACAATATTTTACTGTATTATTGCTTGAAGGAAACAAAACAGTAATTTACCGTAGTTTTTGCAATACATTTTGGGAAAAAGAAGTTGAGACCACATGGGTGAAAGGACAGTGGAGTTGGCTTTGCTCGATTGTCATCCTTCGCCATCCTGACAATTAAGAGGTGAGTGCCTTATTGCTTTGCTTCTTAAAATAGGCAAAAACCATCACTTACTAAGATTCAAGTCATTTGTGGGATTGACGTTAGCTAGATTTGGAAATTACACAGAAACACTGCAGGCAGACACACACGCAGTGAGTGAATTCTTTGCCAGCTAACATTAGCTTGAAATACAGATCTTAACAGTTGCTAAATGGGACAAAAAACAAAACATTTCCTTGTAATGTGGTTAACTAAGTGGGCTATAATGACTTGACTTATTTGCCTGGTGGTCCTAGAATGGAAAGGTTAGCTAACATCAACAGTCACTTTTTCTTTGTTTCAGCTTCAACTGACACTGACTATTGATTAAATATTGAATTAGAAATGATGATTAGCTGGGCCTACTAGGCAATATGGCCATAGTATAAATAGTATATTATACAGTATTTGAAAATGTATAAAAGGAAACTTTAGTGAGACTGTCAGAATGGACCTGGAGCATGTTTTTTGTTTTTTACTGTTTTAACACATAAAGCTTCTGCCATACATCCTGAATTCATGTACTTAAAGTAATTCCAAGACTTATTTTTATTCATACTAGTTCTACTTCATACTTTTACTTTACTTCTTTGTATATGGAGAATATTCAGAAAGGATTGTCCATATGATAATGTTCACTGTTCAGCTGGAGCTGCTTTTGTTCTAATGTTGTTTTTTCCCTTTACAGAATCCTTGTGGCAGTTTCAGTCTGGAAGGAGAAATCAGAGGGAGGTGCAGGTCCAGGGACCCA